GCCGAAGCGTAGCGGAGGCGGGAAGGCCAAAGCAAGTAGAACTAAACCTAAATTACCGCCGCGTAGCGGCGGCGCTCGGCTAGTGTGTACCTAAATCGATTATTTTTAATTTAATTTTTTGGGGTCAGCATGATGCTTACCTGGTGTAAGAAATAATTATTCTTATGATCTTGAATCAAGATTCTTGGTGCAATCTCTTTTTATTGCTAGCTATCACTGTATCTTCATCCTTCACCCAAGACCACCAGCACTTCAAATAACATCTATTTTTTACAAACGCTTCACAATATGTTTCGTTTAGAGTCGTGCTCGATATCTCGGGCCATTTCTTATCCGCTATGAAACTTAGCTCATACCAGCACAAACGATAGTAGTGGCCTGTCCAGCTTGTACTACTTACCTGCTTGTACTGCCTATTTCAGCTTGTAAGTAACTAAAGATTGTTCACTTCTCATATCAAACTCAATGAAAGCTAAACTATATTCAAATTGTACTATTTTTAATGTATGTAGCGTTCATTTTGTGCTAATTCAGAATTAACACTCGAATCTGTGCCAGTTATGATTGAAGCATTTAAATGTTGTGTCGCAAGACGCCTTGCTGCTGTTGCTGTTGACGGTAGTGTTTTCTATTTGATAATTTAACGATGATTTAAGGATTTTTGGACGTCATTTAGGCTCCAAGTTTATTAACGTTTCTTTATGGGGTCTTCTTAACCAACTATAATTCACACCTCTCGTTTTTTGTTGTTGTCTTGCCGCTCCATTTAAAATCGTATCGTACGCCTCTGTCGACGACATCTCCACCAGTTAAGTAGTATCGGACCTGCTGTCTTAACAACTCTTAGAAAACAATGGTTTACAGCAGTAACACATATGAGTTCATTTTATTCAATCCAAAACGATCTATCTATCTTTATGGATCAAGTGACAACGTTTATTTGCAGCGTTTTGTTCTTACGGCCAGCTTCTGTTGTACATGTACTACGATTTGGCAGCTCAGTCAGTTACCTCACTCTCAGATAATTTATTAATATTTCTACAGCAAAGCAGTTGTAGTTGTTATAGTCATTGTAACTTGCAGAAACTATTAAGTGCAGAGTATTACATATTTTTGTATAACCTCGAAAACACGCATTCCTACGTGTACGCTAAGCACCTTGCAGCTTAGGAAGCGTCTTTAGGGGCTACTTCATGTGAGAATAAGAAGCTCTGTCTGTTTAGCACCTAAATATTAAAAGCAACATGCATTATTAGAATTTTAAATATTAATACTTCGTAATATTAAAACGATGCCGCCTTCGGATAATGGATAGTCTTGTGCAAAGCTCCATATGTGCTCTGTGAACCACATGAATTTACTGATGTAAGCTACATAATTCTGTTTTAGCCAATCGAAGCCACCTTCGCCTCCGCTCGGCAGCCAATGGGAAAGCTCAAAAATCTGAGCGTTGCGTGTGACGGACGGACGGACACCGTGCTAGCATTGATAGTTTAGGACTAGCCGTTCGCCGCCGCTACGCGGCGGAGGGGCATGTTTTGTTGAAGATGAGGTGGCCGCAACCTTAGTGCTCTTTGGTGCGGCGTGTTTGGAGAGCGGGGTTTCACCCCGAAGATCTGGCCACCGGGTATATAACCACTTGGCTTTTTCGGAAGCCTCATCCCGCCCCGAAAAATATGGGTGTGTGTGAGTGATCCCGTACCCCAGACGTAGGGGTGGGGTGTTGTATCTCTACAAGGGGTCCTGCTTCTTTCGGCTCCCTCCCGGGATTGGGAGGTTCCTGCTCAACAATTGGCCCCAGCGTTCGCCAAGGGTTTTCGTCTCTCCTTCTTGGGGGGTCCCCTGCTCCTGTAAGGACGTTCTTTTTCGATAAAAGCCTACTTTATTTTTCCGTCTCCAAAATCGTTTAGCGGGGCTTGGCACTGGGCTTTCGGGAAAAATAACTATTTT